AATCATTTAATTATTAGGTTAAATGATCAGGTTGAACCTGACAGCAGCCATACTGTTGGTCATTAAAAATGCTCCAAAGTATACAACAGCACAAACACAGTCCAGAGGTCCAGTTCAGGGACTCCAATTAGCTGAGGTGAAACTGAGCAGGCAGGTCATAAGTGAGGGGTGGGGCAGTTTTCTGCTGGACTTTAGGAAAGAAAATTACAAGTTTTACATTTAAACATCAGCTTTGTATGACCATCTTTTCTCAGCTTTAGGCTGATGACTTGGATCTTCTGGGTAATAATGATCCTAAGCTTACTAGTTGCTGGCGTTGATGGATAGCTGAACTGTTAAACAGGTGTATCACCGGGCTGCCACTTGGCACTACTGAACTGAATGAAATCAGGTTCTTTTATTGCTGGATGACACAGAGGAAGTGTTGGATGCATGTTTAAGTAAAGGACATTTTTGGATGGTTGGATGGATGCCTCCTCTTGCATACATAAGACACTGAACATCTTCATCCTTTAGTCTAAATGTTACCTTCAGCATTTTTCGGCTTTATTCCCCCTCCATCTCTCCTCCCTGACTCTATTTATAGAGCCTCCATGGTGGAAGCACATAATGAAGAAGAGGATTCCCAGCTCCCTCTCTCACTATCTCAGGTATACACAAAGGCATGTGTTCTCTCTTTCAGTACAGTCAAATATCTCTGGAGGGCTTCTTCATCTCCAGGTTTCAATACAATATTTTCGTGCCAAGTGTGAGTAGTTTTTTTCTATTTTCTCTCTAAAAAGAAACCCACTTTCCTCATAAAAAGAAATACAACGTTAGTTCTAGAAGAAGCTTAATTTTTACACCAAGGAAGTGACTGCGTGCTAATTGCTCTCATTTAAAAGATAAATCAGAAAATTCATACAGTGAGCTGCTCAGTTTATATAAACCCTCCTTTTTCCCTTGAACTATATTTAGATTTGGGGTGGTTGTAATCTTCCACTTGTACTCGCAGTCTTACTGTATGTGGAGGTGTCAAGTGTCTTCCTGCTTATGATTAGGCTCATCATTATTCCTCTCCATATTTGGGTCACATAGTCCCTATATACTTGATTTGCATAATCAGAGAATACCATATCAGAACTCTCTCCCCTTTGTGTCCTTGGCCCCCCCGCTGCTCTCAGATGGAGTTTGATGGTGCGTATTTTATTGTGTGGAGCACTAAACCATCTCCCCAGCAGTCAGCTCTTATATGTGAAGCTCTTATCATCATGAATCCATACAGTGGCTGTCGTCACGGGCTGATAAGCTAATAACGTGCATTATTCTGCTTGAGTGTGTAGCTGAACAGCCAGCAGATTATAATGAAGTCATACACGGTATCACCAGAGGGGGTTTCACGCCCCTCACCTGTTTTTCTAATGAGCAGGTCATCAGATTTGCCCCAGAAGCTCGTTAATATTCAGCGTCGACTAGAAACACACCCACGGTCTCGTGCCTCGTTTCTGATCATGTCAGCAGGAGTGGTGAACACAGCGGCCGTGAGCGTGCCGCCAAACATTCCTGGCTCTGAGGTCCTGACAGCCATCGCTGATTCCCCAACCTGACAGCTCAGAGTGCCGACCTGCATGTTTCCTGTGCTATAAACAGCTACTGTCTTATGTAATGGGGCTAATTTAACCCTTACAGCCTGAGGGGAGGGGCTGTAGTACAACTCTCAGAACACCCTGAAATATCAGAAGCATGCTGGGTTAGGATCTCATTGTGTGTGCATTAACAGACCTGATGAGGCGCCCACAGTTGGCAGTGCATCACACTCATTCCTTTGACTGTAATAAATGGCGGCAAATAGACTTCAGGTTTAGATGGAGCAGATCTTTGACCTGAAGCTTCTGCAGGTGAAGCCTGAACTCCAATACAGCTAAAGTTTTAAACTTAAGGCGTCCTCTTAGCTGCTGTTTCACTTAAAGAGTCCTGTCCTGTCTGTTGAGCTTCTGTTTTAAGACTTTCATTATTGCTCTAATGTTTCATTCAGCATATTTTACTTGTTAGCAGCATCAAGTTTATCCAGAGCTGATCAGGATCACCTCACACCAAGAAGGTTCACGCTTTGATTCCTTCTCTGTCTGTAGAGTACTCAGACTTCTCCCCACAGTCCAAAGACATGCATGTTAGGTGAACTGGTGATGCTAAATCATTTGTAGGTGAACCGGTGACAGTTCCATATCAAGTTACAGACTTCCAAGCTGCTGTAACATTAAAGGTGTTTCATTCCCTAAGTGCGTGTGACAAGAAGTGGTACTGTTGTGAGACAGGTACTCTGGTGTGAGGGATTTTTTTTTCTTTTATCATATTATAAACTCAATATTTTTGGTTTCAGACTGTTGGTCAATGAACATGCTGTTTTGTGCTCTCATGAACCATGTTTCACAGATATTGATAAAATGTGTGATTTGCTGCTCAGTTTGAAAAAGAAATGTCAGTGAGCCCAGTGCCAGACCCTGAGGTACGCCACCAAACATCTGTAACATATGAGGGAACCTAAAATGCTACATTTGAATCTTATTTTGAGGTATGATGGGCTGTAAGAGTTTGAAGTCTTGATCTGATGGGTGATTTTAAGGCAGTACGTTTAAAAGAACTAATTTTAAAGGGTGAGCTGTGCAGAGAAGGCTTAATTTCCTCTGAACCGCCTCATTTGAAACAGCAGGCTTCTGTCTGACGTTACACTGTTTGTGTTGCTGATTCTTCAGTCTGCTGCCTTCTGTCTCGTGTAACTTCCTCTTTGTTCACCCATCGCTGAAACGCTGCCGGCTTCAGACCAAATGACAAAAACCTCTTTCTTGGAAATTTTTCCCCACAGAGTTTGTGACAGCTTTGCATATAAATGTGTTTGTGAGTAAATCCTTCCCTGCAGGATTTCCTTTTAAACTGCAGCGCCTCAGCAGGAGCCATCACACTGAAAGAAACCAGAGACGCTTCATATGTTCAAATAAGCTCAGAATTCAAATGAAGATCCAGCTCTGTCCTCCATAAAACTCCTGTCTTTCAGAGAGATCCACAGAGCGATAACAGCCACAGCGTACTCACCCAAACCAGATACACTCTGTTACATACACATCATCTAACAGGTGAAGAATGCATGTTAATGCACAGACAGGTAGCAGAAAATATATCCTCTCTCTCCTGGGTTCACCTGATGAAGCTCAGAAGGGGGAAATGTTTCAGTAAAGTTAAAAAACAAACAAACAAACAAACAAACAATTTAAGGTGACCAACAGTTAGAGATGAGGGTAATTAGAGAGACTGTAAAGAGCATCAGAGGGAGGCAGCAGAGTCCAGCAGATGTCAGGCTTTCACAAGTTTCGTCCTGCAGAGAGTCTGAGAGGAAACCCTTTGATCTCCTCCCGAGGAGAACTCCAGCAGTGATGGTTTCTTCCCCAGGTGACACAAACCAAACCGCTGGCTTGGTTTCCTCTCCTTTGTGCTCTCTAATCCTGTTTCCTTCTTTAAATAAATCCCCAGTGTTAAATCCTCCCAATTCTTTCGATCTTTGGGCTGAAGGAAGGACAATACTCGGTGTATAAATGCTCAATCAACAATTACTTTATTACATAGAATTCAACACTTTTGAGCACAAACCATCCGGATGGGGAGGCAGCTAATCTCAAAACGGTGGAGGGTTCCTCTCTTATAGCCTCTGATGGCCCCCACCTAGTCGTAAAATCCTAACATTCACATGTTTTCTAACTCCTGGCTGAGCCTGACTTATGGCCTTGGCTCCCTGTCTTTCTGCTTGCAGAAAACAGGTGGGGGTGAAACTCTTGTGGAATGTGGTCCATCTCCTCCGTTATCAGACAGCAAGGCCCTCGGCAAACAATATGCTCTTCTTAACTCAGCAGTATGAAATGTCATGAAACAGTGTCATTCATTCACAGTAAATCAACAGTATAGGATAATATAAACCTATCTAAGAAATCTAATGATTTTCACATTTTCTTAATTCAGAAGTATAATGCAAACTAAAACTACTGATCATACTCTCTATAATAAGTATGATGGGGCTTACAGCAGTATAATGATTCACTCATTTCGATTACAGGCATAGGATAACATATGATAGAATAATAATCTCACACCAGCTTCACTTTCCTGATTTTCCTTTGGAGTGTAGGAAGGCTGTGACCTCCCTCTGTGATCACCTTCATCTATAAAATAGGTAATCGTGTAGTTTAAAGAACACACTGCTCACTTTGGAGAAAAATCCATGATTTAGGATTTCTGTGGACCAAACACCAGTTTAACTCTCTAAATGTTCTTATTGAATTTTATCTACAAATTTAAAAGGGGGGGGGGGGGGGGACCCCTGGAAAACATCAAATGTATTGAAGAAAATTTATTTTTAAGATAAACACAACAAAGAAAAATAAAGAAATAATATGGCATTAAAATTAGAAAATTTATTATTTGAAATAAAATAAATCCGAACGATAATGCACAAATATATATTCATGTGGTAGAAAACGCTTAAAATGTGACAAAATATTGACAAATTCAACGCACCACATGACTTCTGCTGCAACAACAGGAGGAAGAAGGTTCATCTCACAAATACAAAAAAAAGTTTGAATGAAAAATCATTTGAGGCAAAATAATTTGATCTGATGTTTGAAGCCTGATTCAGCTGCACTTTTACTGCCACGCGCTCATGCGTCACACTCAGGAGGAAATAAATCTTTAAAAAAGCAGTTCGATTAAAAATGTGATTCAGAGCCGAGAGCAAACGCTCACGTCAGGATTTAAATATAAAAATGTTTCGATTACAAATATAAAAAATAAATAAAGTTCTGCTTTTATTAGTATATTTTTCCTTTTATTTTCCGGAGAGTCGCTGTGGGAAACCCCTGTGCTCTGAGCATGCGCAGAGCGCCGGCCAGCCCGCGGTAGTTGGAGGAAGTTTGGATGTTTGTTACCTGTGCGCTTGGCGGTTTGTAACGTCACCTCACCGGCCTCAGGTGAGTTTCTGGCCCCCTTCTCCTCCTCCTAGCACTGATTGGAGGGCTACGTGAACCGCGTGCAGCTAAAAAAAACGGAAAAGAGAGCGCGCGTGGCGGGTAACCGCGAGTTTGAAGAGCAACTCAGGTGTTTTCAGGTGCGCTGTATAGGTTTCAGTTCGCTCCGGAGGGGTGTGTGTGATTGTTTGTTTTTTTGTTTTGATCAGTCTCTGCTCTCTTCCAGCAGAATGAGCTCCTCGGCTGATCTGGAGCAGCTGGCAGAAATCGGTGAGTGTGCAGCGGCTTTCCAGGTCCTGGTTTGTCAGGTGCTTTCCTGGAAACTTCTCAGCGCTTCCTGTAGTAATGGGAGGGGGGTGTTGTATTGACTCTGTGGTTGGTGAGGTAGCTCTGAGAGCTTTTCTAGTCGTGTTTGTGGCTGTGTCATGTAGATTGTAAAGCATACTCGGCTCTGCAGTAAGGTTGAATGTAAACAGAGAGGAGAGCAGATGTTTGCAGGCTTAGGGACGTGGTGATGTTCTACCCGGTGGTTAGCTGCATGATGGAGGGTCAGCTGCTCACAGTACATGTTCATACTGACGTTCTCTAATGAAGAGAAACGACAGACCGTCACAGACAGCGTTTGAGATGATCCACAGCAGGAGGTCCGGCTTTAATCTGCTGCTGCGTGTTTCACTCTCTGAGGAAGTCCTCATCCTCAGCTTCATCTTCAATGAAGTCTGAGTCGGCCTGAGAAGAGTTCAGATGTTAGGAGTCGGTGTTGCTGTCAGCCCACATTAATGTAACAGAGCAGCACATGGCTGTGCTTCACTGTGAGGTGCAAGGAAAATGATTCGTGGTGTTCAGAAGTTTTTAGTAAAAATCTGAGAAGCATGTGAGTTCAGCTGTCTGGAGCTCGTTTGTGAGTGCCTTGATTCGGGTCTAGACTTGTATCTGAGCGTTCCTCTGCAGCACCGTCTGCTTTACCTTTGTCCACCTTCTCATCTGCCTGCTGGAGACGAGCACGATGCTCTGTTAGGTTCATGTGCAGTGTTGGGTTTGTGTTTTGGTCTCATGTGACCAGAGCCCCTGCTGTGTGTCTTGTACTTGAGGCTGACTCTAGTCTTCTCAACATTCTTGTTCTTATGGATCTAAGTTCAAGCCTTTGACACTCTCTCACTCCATCCTTCTAAACAGACTTTCCTCTCTTGGCATCTCTGACACACCTCTAGCCTGCTTCCAATCATATCTCCTTGACCGCTCCCAGTTTATCCAACTTAAATCATTCTGCTCTCGTCTATTCCCAGTCACTGCTGGTGTACCCTAAGGTTCAGTCTTAGGCCCTCTTCTCTTCATAATATACATCCTCCCTCTTGGTACCATTTTAAAGTTGATCCCTACTTTCACTGTTTTGCTGGTAACATATATATATATCTATATATCCCAGTTATATCTCTCCCACAGGTCCGATTCCTCCCTCCAACTTCTTCTATTTCAGATTACTTATCCCAGTTAAAATCCTGGTTCAGCTCCAACTTTCTTAAGCTCAATGAGGATAAAACTGAAATTCTACTTATTGGCACTAGATCCAACCTACTGAAGGCAAATCATTTCACTCTCACTATTGACAACTCCACAGTTTTCCCTTCACATCAGGTTAAGAGCCTTGGTGTTATCCTTGACAGCTCACTATCCTATAAATTGCAGACCAATGATCTCACCCGTTCACATCCTTCTCTTTCGACTCAGTCTGTGTCCATTCTTGTTCATAGTCTTGTTACCTCCCACAGTGACTATTGTAATTTTCTCTTACATGGTCTCACCCAAAAATCCCTTCATAAGCTTCAACTGTTTCAAAACTCCGCTGCCCGCATTATTACCAGAACCCCCTCCTACCAGCGCATCACCCTTGTCCTTCAGGAACTTCACTGGCTTCCTGTGAAATTCAGAATAGTATTCAAGCTTCTTCTGTTCGCCTTCAAGGCCCTTCATAACCTTGCTCCTCCTTACCTTTCAGACCTGTTAAGCACCACCTCTTCTGCTCGCTCAATTCCATCTTTTTCTTCTAGCCAACTTGCTCTGCCTTCTTTTCGCCTCTTTCTGTGTGAACTTATTGTTTGTTTATTTTATCTTGTTTTTTATTGGTCTTAGTTTTGTCCTTGGGTGTCTTGAAAGGCGCTTTTAAATAAAATTTGTTGTTATTATTATTATGATTATTATAACTGATGACCTGTGGACAGACTGTGGATCTCAGCAGCTGCTCCACAGTGACTGTGTGCCTCTCAGCCATTGCTTACTCTTCCTGTGGATGACGGAGTGAGTGGATCTCTGTGAGGCTCTCAAAGCCTGAGATCTGTTTATAACCTCCGCTCCTTCAAACCCACCTGCTGTTTGTTCACTGCTGTTCTTTCAGGGACCTCTGAGGCTGTCACAGAACAGCTGGACAGAGGTGACCTGTTGGTGTCCTATTAGTGACCTGCGTTTGATCCAGGGGTCTTAGAGGAAAAGAGGCTGAAAATAAATGCACGCCACACGTTTCAGATTTTTATTTGTAGAAATGTTTGAACAGCATGAGTCATTTTCCTCTTCAGGTCATTGTCACTGTGCTGTCCGGTCACATAAATAACACACGTGTCAGTTAGACATGGATCGATGGAAGCACAGCGGTCTGAGTTGGCCTGCGGTCACAGGATGCTGGCACACTTTAAAACCTGCAGACGAAGCTTTCGGTTTCTCCAGCAGGAAAACTACAGCCCAGCGCCCTGGCTCTGATTGTTGGGCAGCTCCTGCTCGGGGCTAAAGTCGGCCTTTGTGCGCTTGGGTCACTTCCTGTCTGTTATCAACCTTGCTGTGTGTTTACAACAAACTTCCCGAGCACAGATTACAGCTCCAGTTTCCACCCTGATAATCACTGATCTCAGGAAGTCATCTCGGAAATGGGCGGAGCTACACGTTTGGAATTCAGAACTAATCACCGGTCATTTCTAAAAACTCAGCCAAAACTCAGGTGGTGATGATGGTGACGATGATAATGATGATGATGTGTGTAACTGTGTTTGGATAGTCTTTGTGAAGCTGTGTCTGAGGTTGGGACCTCGGAGGGCAGCCTGACTTGAACATGGAGACCGAGAGCAGCAGATAAGACCTTGATGAGGTCAGAAGGAGCAGGTTCCTGTTACCAGTCTGGCTCGAGTCTCATGAATGAGGCGAAGTTATCAGCTGTTGACCAATTAGAAACAGATCTTCTGATAGCAGAGAGACTGATGTTACAGAGAAAGCTAAGATTAGAAATTGTGAAACAGTAACTTCAGGTCTGTGACAGTAACGTCAGAGGAATGTCCAGAAGTGGAACTGTTCTATTCTGGAAGTCTGTGCTGTGACGGGGAAACACTGATGTGTAATTTCTTCTCCTCAGGTTCATAAATGAGCAATTTATCACATGTGATTATTCTCAGGCTAAACTTTGACTTCTTCAAAGGAGAGGGGAGCAGCTTGGCGTCATATCAGGGTTATTAATCAGAATTTATAGCTCACACTGAAGCTGACGAGTGTCACGCCCACTTCACACTTTACTACAGACACAATGGTGAGGTCATTTTCCAGAGATCTGATTGGTCAGTTACTTTTTTAATCTCAAATATAACCAGTGGTTACATCTGCAGGTTTTTATTGTGAAGGATCTTCTGTTACTGACTAAATGTGGAAGCTCCTGATGGATCAGCTGATCAGTCAGCTGTAAAGGAAAACTTTAAAGAGTTCAAATGCACCTCAGACACACGCAGGCAGGCAGAGACACATACACACTCAATCAAACAGACAGACACTGTCTGTGTGAGTTACTCAGGTGGTTCTCCCTCTAACAGAGCTGCAGAAGGAGGAGGAGGGCAGTTGTGTCACAGACGGTCCATCAGCTCCTCCAGTCAGCACACCAAGTCTCGACCCCTCCCACCCGTATTACGACGTGGCTCGACACGGCATCATCCAGGTTTCGGGTAAGCTCCGCTTCAGTCAACCAGTTCAGAACGATCCACCAATGCTAACGATCTGCTAATATTCTCGCCGTTTTTGGTTCCAGGGGACGACCACTACGGCAGGAAGCTGATTGTCTTTAGCAGCTGCTGCCTACCACCTTCGCACCAGCTGAATCACCGCCGCCTGCTCGAGTGAGTCCATGTTGCAGCCTGCCATGGTCAGAGACATACAGGTCCTCTGTGGTTGGTTTTCACAATGTTCTCTGTCTGCAGGTACCTGAAGTTCACACTGGACCAGTACGTGGAGATGGACTACATCCTGGTGTACTTTCACTATGGCCTGAGGAGCAGCAACAAGCCGTCTCTCAAGTGGCTACGAGAGGCTTACAGCGAGTTCGACAGGAAGTAGGTCACCTCAATTTCTTGTACTCTTTATGAGTCAAGTTCAGCGCTTTATTGCAGAGACCAGAACCTCAAGTTCAGGTCTGCTACAGAGCATGCTCAGTGTGACGTCAGAGTGTGTGGACCAGCTGCACCATCAGCTCCTATACAGCAGGAAACCCTTTCAGACCCTCCACAGTTTACTCCGAACTTCAGTCTCAGAGACGTTTTAGCGTTTCTGTGGAGAACTAGAACCTCCAGCTTTACTCCAGCCTTCAGTCAGAGGACGTAACAGCCGCCGGGGTCTACAGGCTGGTCGGGCGATCAGTTTTGCATTCAACTCGATTCAATCAGATTCTATTTATTTGGACCTTTTAATTGTAAAAGTGCAAAAAATGACCTTTTAAAAAATGTGGTACCGGGCTCTGCACTGAGGGACATATCTGCACCTCTTTAGCTCTTCAAATGTGCTTAAAGTTGTGTTGAGGTGCAGCAATGAGTCCTGAGGGGTGCGTCAGGGTCGATTCTACCTGTTCACCTGTCTCTGAGAAGTGGTATCGATCAGGTTACCGTGGTATCACGATCCGTCAGGGAGAGCCACAGATCATGGACCGAGAACCAGACTGCTCATTTTAGTGGATTATTCAGCAGGTGTGTTCACATGTGTTTCAGGTACAAGAAGAACCTGAAGGCTCTGTACGTTGTCCATCCCACCAACTTCATCCGAATCGTCTGGAACCTTTTCAAACCTCTGATCAGGTACAGATGTACCTGAGCACACCTGAGGCTTAGCAGGAAGTTCTCTAGCTGCTCTCGGTCACGCTGCAGCTGATTCTTCTTCTTCTTCTTCTCTTCTTCTCTGTTTGCAGTCACAAGTTTGGGAGGAAGCTGACGTATGTGAACTACTTGGCTGAGCTTCGGGAACACCTGAACTACGAGCAGCTCTTCATCCCTCCAGAAGTGCTCAGGTCGGTGCTCCTCGGCTCGGACGCCCAACGGCTCGGACGCCCAACGGCTCCTCACCGTGTTTATCGTCTCTCCACAGACATGACGAGGAGCTGCGAGCGACTCAGAAAGGAGGACCCCCGCCCTCTGTGAAAACACCCCCGCCCCGGCCCCCCCTGCCCACCCAGCAGTTCGGCGTTAGTCTGCAGTAGTGAGTGTCACTCTGTAGTTTAGTCGATCGCTAACGAGCGGTTTTAATCAATGAAACATGTTTTCTGACAGCATCAGAGAGAAGAACCGAGAGGCCGTCATCCCACCTGTGATGACCCAGACTGTCACATACCTGAAGGAGAAAGGTGAGGCTTCATCTCAGAACAGTGAGTTCAGGGTCACCTGATCCAGTTGAGAGCTCTGTCTGGATAGTCAGATAAAGTGAGGTCAGTAAGGTGAGACCTGTGATCAGAGTTTGTGAGGAGATGATCTGCAGTCGACTGTAAACCGGAGAAAAACGTTGTCAGCTGATGTCAGTGAATGCATCACGGTGTGTTTCAGGTCTGAGGACTGAGGGGCTCTTCAGGCGATCGGCTCGGGTTCAGCTCATTAAGGAAGTACAGAAACTCTACAACCTGGGTGAGTGGGGTCTCCCTGCCTCAGCAGAAGGGGCTCTCAGATCGTCATAAAAAAAAAAAAACACACAGGAAGTCATGCTGAGGCCAATGTTGCATTAAATGAACTTCCTGCCGTGCGAGGTGACGCCTTCAGATGGAGATAACTGTGAGAAATGGGAAACAGCTCGTGTTCATGAACGTAACATTTAAGATCAGCATGATCACAGATCAATCTCCAGGTGATCAATCGATCACAGCTGCTCCTGGTGATTCTGATTCATGATTTTACTGTACTGCTCACCCAAAAAACCTCTTCAATCCTTTTTCCACTCATATAAGCTACACTGCTGTAGTTCCAATTTATTAATGTTATTTTATGAAGTTTGATTATATTTATCTTATGTATTATTTTTTGTTTCTTGTAGTTTGATTCAAATATTTGTTTTTGTTTCCATTTTTTCTATTGGACTATTTTTTATTTTATAAAAAATATCTTATTTTTTATTTTATTTTCATATCTTCATTTTTAAAATTTGTGGATAAATTTGAGTTCAGGATCTGTGAAAAATAGCATTGTCAATAAAGTTAACTTTATTTAAACTCATGCAGGGAAGCCGGTGAACTTCGAGCAGATAGGAGATGTGCACGTTCCTGCCGTGATCCTGAAGACATTCCTCAGAGAGCTTCCTGAGCCATTGCTCACCTTCCGGGTCTACAGCCAGGTCCAGGAGCTGCTCCGTGAGTCCCGCACTTCCACATTTGTGCAGGAGAAGAAGAAAAAGGGGCTGTGTTCTCTAGAGACTAAAGTGGTTTTTGATTGGTTACAGATGTGGAGAGCAGTCTGCGGGTGACCCGATGCAAACAGATCGTCGAGAGTCTACCTGAACATAATTTCATTGTGGCAAAGTACCTGCTGTGCTTCCTGCACCAGGTGAGTCACAGCTCAGATGAGCATGAGAAGCACCAATCAGGAGGTGATCGATCAGACACACAAACAGCTGATTGGAGCAAACAGATTTTTATTGCTGTAAAGTTGAGACTGTAAACGGAGATGGCTGGTCAGATTTGTAAAATGAAGCAGTCTCAGCAGCTGATTTACATACTTGTGACGTCACATATGAAACGACTCAAACAGCAACGCCTTCGAATATGGAAATAAGTTACAATAAAAATCATCTTAAATATACAAAAACATCATTTGATCTGTCGGACTTGTTTGTGTATCGGTGACTTTACTCTAACAGTGAGACACCACTGCCACCAGCAGGTCAAACTGAATGCTGCAGCACCTTTCCAGTTTGTTGATGTCTTTTCTCTGTTCCCTCTCTCTCGCCTGTGCGGCGCCCCCTTCAGGTATCTCAGGAAAGCATCATAAACAAGATGTCTCCATCTAACTTGGCGTGTGTTTTTGGCGTGAACCTGGTCTGGCCTCGTCACGGCTCCATCTCCCTGACCGCTTTGACCCCTATCAACATCTTCGCTGAGCTCCTCATCGAGCACGTCCACACAGTGTTCGGCTCCCGCTGCCCACCTGCACAGGTGATGCCCTGAAGGACGGCGGCAACTGTTTTTTTTTTTTTTGTTGTTTTTTTTAACTCTTATCGTTTTTAAAAAGGTCAAATGCAAGGTGAACCTCCAAGCATGAACCTTCACGTTTGGACTCATGATGGTGATGTTACTGGTTTTATTTATAGTTTAAGTGTTTCATCTTTAATGAAGTAATAACACTGGAGGTGATCTGATTGGACGAGAAGCTGGAATCCGTTTCCATGTTTGTGGTATTTTGTGTTTCTGTCGAGTGTAGACCGCCAAATGTAAAAACTGATTGCAGTAAGTTTTGTTTTTGTAACAACCTCAAACCCTCAGAGCGCCGTCTTCATCAGGTTTGTACAGACAGAATGTTTTCCTGATAGAAGACACCCAGAGGTTTATCTTTTATATGTACCTTTATATGTGATAAATTCTCTGCTTTCACCTGTTTTTGTTTAGATTTTATTTTCCCACTGTTGGACTTTACGCATTATTGGAGAAAAAAGGTTGGTTGATGCTGAGCAGCTTCGTCCAAGAAGTGTATGTTCATTAGCCAATGAGCATGCAGGTACACGGTCAGCTTGCCCCATTTTCTGTCCCCAATTTAAATTCAGCCGATCTCACCTTCAGCCTCTCCTGAGGTCACTTTACCTGTAACTGCTCAAACTGAGCACACTCTTATTTCATTGTGAGCCTCAAATTCAGAAAGTTCTGCTTCACACTGAGCAGAAATCAGAATCCTCATCTACAATTGAGTAAAATCCGAGCCTGAGGAGACCCGTGCGCAGGTGAGTTCAGGTTCAGCCCTCGGCTTTCTGGTGTGAAGGTGATTCATTCCTGCTCTGAACCACGTTTTCTTCAGATAAGAGGTGAACGTGAACCTTCAGGTGGTCTGAGAGCTGGAGGAGGACCACCAAAGCAAAATCCTCATCAGTGAGTCAGCTGCTAGGAAACACAAGGGCTGGACTTTCAAAATAAGAGCAGACTGTAGAGAAACTGCTAAGAATAAAACAAATTTGAGCCGTTTTTATTCTTGAATTTTGTTTATTAATGATTAAATTTTTCGTAAGAACTTGGTACAAAAAGGTGAGACTACTCTTTAACCATTTACCACCTTCCATCAATCCGCTTTTTAATGCATCATAAAGAAGAAAAACTACATTGGCATATTTAAGACAAACACTTTCCTATACACACTATCCACTGGACAGTCCCCTTATCAATGACAAAGAAAACTTCTACTTCCACAGCCAACACACACTTCACTTCCATCTAAACACCCTCGTATCGCCGTCGCCGCCGCCTCGTGGTTAAAATAATACACCGAAGCGAGAAGTCAGAATGCAGAACTGGCAAACAATAGAAAATCCAATGTTCTGTTTTCTCGTTTTGCTCCTCCATAAAAGAATATAAAAATGTTTTTGTTCAAATGTCGACTCGTGTATTAAAATAGATCTGTTTAAGCACTGCACAGTTTCTCCCGGAGAGGATTTCTAGAAACGGATGAAGAGGTTCGCTCGCAGGGACAGGTTTGTTCATTTTAAAGGGGCGGAGCATGGACGTGGCACAGAGCGCTGATATGGTTTCCTTCTGGTTTTATTTCCCTACTCGATATGCATCACATGGCATCATTCACGTCACCCTCAAAGATTTAATCTTATGTTTTTACACTTTACTGAAGGTTCGTCTCAAATTCAGAGCCAGGAAGAGTTTAGTTCAAGAGTTAAGTTACGTTAAGCTCTAATATCCACCAGAGGCAGCAGCAGTGAGTCAGTAAAAATAAACATGTTTACAGCCTGATACAAAAACTGTTGGTCTCTTTAGATAATTTCCCCCATTATAACAACTGTATGAAACTTTTGATACAGAATAAAGATAAGAGGAAGTAAAAGAGATGAATGAGTGTCTCCATATGCAGATGACAGTTTTGTATACTGGAGAAGAAGGAGACGTAACAGTTTGAGGTTCATATCTGGAGTCAGAGACAAACAACTGTAAGGGGAAGAAAGTTTTTATAACTCAACTGTTTTAAACTGTATTAAGGTTTAAAGTTTGCAGTTCGCGGGACCTCTTTGACTGGCAGGTGATGGTGGTGGCTGTAGCTACTAGCTGTCTCCTAGGCCTCACCTCAGCCAACTGGAGTCTGGACTGGACCAAATTTGTGCTGTTGGTGCCTTTTAAACAATATGGCTGCTGTGAGGTTAACAAAGTTAGTGAAAAAAAAGGTGTTGATGACCTTTTGTGTTGACTAATAATGCAGGAGCATAAACTGAACCGTTTTATTTTGAAAGGGCTGAATCCAAGACTTCATTAGCTAAGGTAGCCACACAGATCCCCGTGCATCTCTTCGTCAATGTGCTGCTTTCCTCTGATGTAAAACATTTTATTTGCACCAGGACTCACTAACCTGAGCACATGGTTCAGAGATCAGCACTTTGGGGTCAGAATTTAGGAAAATTCTTTCCTTCCAGGCTCTGTAATCGGACAGAGCTCTTATTCTGAAAAACTACTTGTTCATTTGACGATGGAGAGAACGACGGACGCAGGAAAATTTGGTGCTGAGAGACGTTCATCTGAGGTTGGGATCCCTCGGTCAGCCGAGGTGTCTGTCATCTGTGCACCTTCACAACCTACGCCTTCTTCTTACTCTCAGTAGTTTAAAATTAATCCTTTTTGATACCGTCTGTTCTTTTATTTATTTTGTCAGTTCATGTTACTGACTCTTGGAGTTACAAGAATCCATCATTATGAACATGTTCGCAGATTTAAGCCAAAATGAAAGCAGAACAAACCAAAAATCCTTTCAGTCTCTGTGCCCCTGATTTATTCGATTTGGGTTGAGGTTCTAAAATTCAATTTTTCTTTAAAACCTAATGGACGTGAAGGTGCACAGATTTCAGGCGTCAGCTTCAAAGCATCTTTTGGAAAAGTCAGGCTGTCGTGTTTCCGTGCCCACTTTTGTCTCTCAGCACGGTCAAAAGCCGATGGAGGCCTTTGCACGTGTTTTTGGAGTGAAGTCACTTTGGAACCGTTTTGCCGATGTATTGCTCATCGTTTCTTTCATTCAGAGTCGCTTGGCTGCTTTTTAATCTTTTGTGCAGATGATGTTTCTCCAACATTAAGGATCTTTTCGGTATTTTGGACTTGATATGACTCATAAAATAAAATCACGTCTTTATGTATTCCTTCCCGTCCTCCTGATAAAGCCTTTGTTTTTCTGACCGTTTCTTCATGTTTGTGCATCGACAGGAAGTTGAGAGCTGCATGATAAAGAAATAAAAAATGTACTAAATCTAACTTCATAACACTCAAATGGAACCTCTCTGGACCAGCAGGAAGACTAGCGAGACAAATGGACTGACAGCGGCGTCCCGGCCCGCCGACAGTTTGACAGAGCGGTCCCATTTCCGATCAACGTGTTTATAAAATGACGCAACAAAGACGCAAACCCTGGATTTCAAACAATTTGTACTTGAGGCAGTGTTCATCTGTCGGATTAACAGGCTTGTCGCTGTTCGAAAAACACGAGTAAAAAAAGCGAAAAATATAAAAACGGGCAGGGGAAGAAAAAAGCACATTACTGATCCCAGTACAAAAACAACAAAATGTTTTTGGCATATTTTTTATACTGGTTAAAGGTGAGAGGGGGCGGGTGGGTCACATCGACTGAACGCCGGCGTGTTCGAGTGCAGCTGTGAGCAAACACGGCGGTCCCCGCCCACTTAACCAATCACTTCCTGTGACAGCAGAGCGGGATTTTTTTACTTTAGCTCAGCACGAAGAGAGAAGTACAGCTTACAGTTTATTCAGAGACTACTGAAGATCTGCTGGTTCTTAATATTGACTCAGTATTTTGATGGGTGATGTTGAAATGAGACAAAAATCAGTTTGAGGTCACATCAGGAGTAAAACTCTCCAGATTAAACGTGTTGTGTTGACCCCTCGTAAATGTGGAAGCAGCTTCTTCTGTCTGCTTCAGCATACACGTATCTGATACTGAAACATTTTGGGCTTTTCAAACTGAGCATGATGCAGATAATGTGCTGAGGATGAATGAGGAGCAGCCTGTCCAGCAGAGCGTGCACTGGCTGCACGGTGAGCAGCAGACAAACTCAGTGCTGGGCCTGTGTGTGAACCTCCCGTAAGGTCTGTGTTGGTTCACTGGAGATCAAACATTTGTGGTCCTACTGTCGGCGCTCATGGTATCTGACCATCATGGTGTTTGAACCAATTAAATCCAGTTTAATGTCGGGCTCAGCGGTTTTTATAAATGGTTTTCTAATAACTCATATCATTCAGAGCTTCAGAGCAGTTTTGACTTTTTAAGTGCAGTCTTAGTTTTTCAAGAGCAAAGGTTAGAGTTTGCATGGTTTGTTTTCTGCTTTTCTTCGACTAAACCTTAAAGAGAATGTGAAGCTCTGCAGTTATTTTTACAATCTAGATGCATCAATATTTACTATTGATTTAAATAGGAAATGAATTTTAATGAAGATATGTCTGGCATGTTTCTCTGGCTCGGCTGTCAAACAGGAAGTGGATGTTTTAAACGAGCAGGAACTCGTCTCGTTCAGACGTGTGACTTCGGTAAAGTTTGAAAACCGAAAAAGAAAAACCCTGCGATGATCATGATGGTGATAATAATAATAATAATAATACAACATATGTACAGTGATCCCCTTGAATACTCCAAACTTACATTTTTCAACAGGCATCAGCATGAAAATACTAAAATCTCCACTAGAAATGCTAATTTCTGTAGTTTAATCTTAAATACTTTTTTTCTTTGACTTTAACTCTATTAATACTGAAAAAAGTTATTCTCTGCTTTTGTTTGAAGGCTCGTATGCGTTCACATACACGATGAAAACATTTTCCTGAATCATTATGGCAAAAACATTGTTCATAGGAGAATGAGAACAAACATTTACTCAGATATATCAATGTACAGTCCGTCCACTTCCATCCATCCTGGATCTACTCTAACTCTACTGTTCTCTCTCTCTATACGCAGGACAGGAATCAGACCTGTGTTTCAAAAAAGGGAAATATCTTCTGGGCCGCGCGTTCCCGCCGCCACGCTGTAATCGAACTTTTTGTAATAAATACATTAAGGCCAAGAATGTTAATAAATAGAAAAGAACTTAAAAAAAGAAATCTCGTAAGCACTGTAGGTGTTGGGTTTTAAAAAATACTTGAATCGTGTGGAGGATAGAGGCTCTTCATCAATATTTTTCTGACTAAAGAAATCATCACCGCTGCCCTCTGTGGAAAAACTCGGAGCTCTGGTGGGCGGGGCTAGATGTTGACGTCGTCCTGGCTGTGGCTTGTCTGCAGGGGCGTGGCCGAGGGGCCCGGCGGGGTGGCGGCGGCGGTGGTGCTGGTGGATTTGATCCAGGACTGTGAGAGCAGCGACGTGGCGATGGTGGCGGTGGTCGTCATGGTGA